CTTGCAGTTGTGCCTAATGCCATATCATGTTTGTCGGCTGAGCCTTTTCAAAGCCAAAAAAGAGATTAAGACACCACTTAATATTAGTAGAAGATGTGTGCCTAAATCCACTTTGTCAGGTCTGAAAATCTCAGCCATGTTGACTGTTTTCTGATACTTCCCTGTATTTTGTGCAGCAGCCAGCACTTGCTTTAAGCTTCTTCAGTTCTCATCATAAGACCGCGCTGCCCACTACGTGAGTATAATTTGTCACTGCTTGTAATGCATTTAAAGCTAACTGTCTTTTCTTTTCTGCTATTGATCTTTTATATTCACCACAAACAGTTCTCCTCTCTTCCTTGCTCTTCTGGGGCCATTTCTCCTCCCTACGGCCGACTAGGTGGTTGGTGGGTGACTTTTTTCTTTGAGTCACCAATATGATGAGCTGTACCAGACTACCTCTGCTGAATCTGTCATACTTTCCAGCCAGGTAGCCAGTAGAGAACAAGACTGGCTGTTCGGGAAAGCTCTGATTTTTGATATTTAAATTCATCCTTGCCAAGCTAACAAGGTAAAACTGCAATAATGCAATCTAAGCACTACTGCGAAGCCAATGATAAATCATCATAACAACTGCATTTTGGCTTACCCTTTTAGCATCAGAATGATGAGTTCTTTAGCAAGAAGACAGCATGTTTCTCAGTACAAGGATGTGTTGAGCTACAGTTACTAAATGTTGCAGATACTCTGTCCTTTAGAAGACAAAAGGAAAACATTTTTTTTAACGTTTGTATGTTTCAAAAAGTGACTGTAAAAATGACACTGACTCGAACCAGCCAACCAGAGTCATCAGGTCATAGCTCCTAAATATTTTGTTTGTTTCCTATTAAGGTGCAGGTTCAGATCAGTGTGGACCAAGGGAACTGGTTTCTTAAGGTGGCATCATGCCATTCTTCAATTCTGTTCAAGAGGCAGGATCAATCACAGTGTGGAAGAGGCAGGAAAAGTCCAGCCTGGTTTCCAGGGCTGTTACGACATACTCAATTTTAGAAAGTAGGTGGAGAGTTCAGCACTGGTGTTGCCCCTGTAAACTAAGCACCTTGACTATGGAAGCCATGGGAGGGAGAGGGTGGGCCTAAGTTAGTCTCTTTGACAGTCAATTGTATGCCCCAATCTAGCTTCCACTGAAGTCAATAAATGTCTTTGTGGCAGCTAGACTTAGTCCTTTAGACCTACTTACACATGACTCATTGCTAGAGAATGAAGTATAAGTGAGAGTAACCTGTGTGTGGAGGCTTGGAGGTAGTATTAGATGGTGTAAGTAAGAGGAGGGAGGGAAGGGGCCCTTGTAACGTCCACATGGACATGCCCTCTACCAGCTGTGTTCCTCCTCCATGCTAGCTCGTGGGTCTGAGTTACTACAGCTTAGACTGTTACACTCACTGGGCTGAGGAAAGAGTGATCATAGAAAATTAGGGCTGAAAGGGACTTCAGGAGGTCATCTAGTCAAACCCCCAGTAGTGCATGTAGAGGTTGTGGAGGAGGGTTGTAAGACTTAAGTAATGCAAACATGTAGTTGGGGCTGAGCTGGAGGAAGGTGCCAAGGCCCCCCCTCTAAAAGTCAAAGCCTTTCTTTTGCTGTGATTCTTGCTTCTCAGGGTAAACTAGTCCTGCCTGCTGGCTGCTCTAACTTAGGTATTTGCCAGTGGGCCCACTCATCAGCTAGTCTGAATCAGAGGGCAGTGTGGTGCAGCTGTACCCTGCCTTCTGCCCCTATGGACCCTGCCCCAGAATTATTTGGGGTGATGGTGCATCAGATGGGGCTACCAGGTTTGCATTCTTAGCTGGGAAAATCCAGCTGCTATGGCAGTATGAAGGGATCTGACCCTGAGCTGCTGTCACTCTTGGCCTCACCTAACTAAGGATACTTTGGAGTAAGAAACACTGAGTTTCTCCCCCTCAGCCATTCTGTGGATAGGCCTAGAGGGCTGATTTAAGATCAGAACCTGGACTGCAAGTAGAAAGGAGCTATTGCAGTAACAACCTGTTCCATGCCCCCCACCCCTGCTTCCCCGCAAACTTTGCCAGCCATGAAAGCCAGGCATGCAAGGCACTCGACAGGCATGTGTAGACCTCAGGACAGGCTTCAGAGCCCAGGTGATAGGGGAGCTCAGTGGGAAGCAGGCTTTCCAGGTTCTAAGTGAGGGTCTAGTTAACAACAGGAGCTACCTCCGAGCATTATGACTAATCATTTGTGTGCACTAAGTGCTGTACAGAGCCCCAGCAAGAGACAGTCCCTGCAGTCTAATGATGCAGAGCACTGTGCCAATAAAATCTTTGCCTCTTCCTCTAAATCAGTATCTCCAACAAGAGCAGTAAAATCCTGCCTGCACCTGTGCAGAATCCAGGGGAAAGCTTGAACACAACCACCTTGAGTTGCAATGAGGGAAGAATCTCAGGAGAATACTCATCACTGAGTGTCCTTGGCCTGGAGCTGAGTGCATGACTGTTCAGGGCTGTGACTCATGGTCATAGATCCCCAGGCAGAGAGAGAGGAGAGGAACTTCCAGCTTCTGGTAAGTACAGGATGCTGGAGGAGAAAGGGACACTGCTCCTCTAGAGGATGTGGGTGTTGGCAAGAGCCCGGGAAAACACCAGTTTGTCAAATTGTTCAGATTGGCACAGGGCTGCATGCCTGGCTCAGGGTGACTTCTCAGATTAGCTTGTTTCCTCCAGGTTCTGGTTCACTGTCAGCATTTTTTTCAAACAGTGAAGGGCACTGTAGGCGACAGTAGTTGAGTGGGGCCATCTTAAATAGTCCTGATCCCTCACTGAGGCAGATACCCTCAGCCCATGTGCCTCTGAGAAGGAAAATCTTGGCCCCTCTGGGAGCCAAGAGGAGCTTTGCTATTGCCTTCCATGGAGCCAGCATTCCATCCTGTTTATATGCACATGAACCTTGATGAAAGACACCTGGGGGCAGGGGCAAGGGGATGCTGCAGATAAGACCAGTATTCACCTTTCATCTGAGGCAGGCTTCTGATCAAAATGCTAGATATAGAAATATTGGCTGTAAATAAATTCCCTCCCCATCCCACCCCCCACCACTGTGGCATTCACTGTTTGGAGGGGGAAAGAAAGTCTCCAAATGACTTGAACCCAGCTGTTTCTTAGGACACTTCAAGCAACCCTTACCGCCACCAAGAGAACTGAGGGGAAAAAGTTGTGTGTGAATTGGAGTCTGGTCTCTCTTGCACTAACATAAGCCACTTTCCAATATATAAGCTTTTCTTTTATGTGACCATCTTGGCAGCTCAGAGTAACATTTTAAACCCAGTGTCCTAAAATAACTCTTGGAAATAGAAGATTGCTTTGTCATTCCTTTTGTAGAGCACAATCAGTCAAGGGACTCTCCTGCTAGCTGGCTGGGTTGATTTGAGAACCTGTTTGAGTGGCTTTATTCCGACCAACATTTTGCTTTATTGATTGTCTTTCCATTACATTTTCTCCCTAGTTTATGCTCTTCCTATCTGTGACTTGCAGCCTGATCAGCAGGAGCTGAGGGACTTTTTAAAAGGGTGTGAACAAATGGACTTTTACCAAAGGGGGTAAAAAAAAAACAAACCCAAAAAAACCCAGATTGTGCTTCAGCCAGCTAGCTGGGAAGCATAAATTATTGCCATGTCTTGAATTATGGGCTATAGGCCAAATCCTGCTGTTCTTACTCAATGGCATGCAAGCTGCAATGGTTAGGGGCTGTCTACACTAGGAAAATGTGCTATGGTATAACATATGTTTGGTAACCTGGGAAGAGAGCCTGCTCTTGTGGTACATGCCTGGAAGTCAGGAGACCTGGGGTCTCATTCTGGCTTTGCCACCTTGGGTAAGTAACTTTGCCTTCTCTTCTCTCTTTGTCTGGCCTCATTAGGCTATGAGTTCAACAGGCCCAAGATTCTGCGTGTCTCAAGCACCCGGCACAATGAGACCTCTGGCCACTACTGTAATATAGATAACAGCAGTGTAAAGCCTGAGTTAGCACCCAGTGTGGAGAAGAGCTGTTGGTGTAAAAATCATGTCAGCTGAATCTGAGAAACTCCACATTTGGATTAACCATAACCATTGACGTGGTTCTACACTGGATAGTCCTTGTCTACCAGGGGAGGTTAACACGGACGCTAATGCAATGTAATTCTCCGGCACAGGAATTCATCTTTGTGTAGAGGGTCAGAACCGAGTCTGTGCATCCTAGGTCTTGTCAGATCCTTAGCACTTGCTGAGTGTTTGACCCAAAGATGGCAGCAGGGCTACACTCAGGAGTAGGAATTTGGCTTGAGAGAGATCCAGCCACATTCAGGAAATATTAATATTCAATGTGGCTATTCAGTGGTAGGAAATCATGTTTTTCACCTTGAGAAATCCTGATAGCTTTTCCACCCTGTGACTGTCCATATTGTCTGTGACCTTTAGAGACAGAGCCCTGTGCTTGGTGAGGGTATTGCACTTGCTTAACCATGGCACGGCTCTGGAAATGCTGCATTTTCATTTCAATGGAAGATAAGTTTGGCTGCCTGCACTCAAGCAATTCTTGTGAAAAACAGTGGGTTTGGAGGCTTTGAAACATACTTAACTCCAAGTAAGGAAATGCCAGCTGATCCCAATGGCCAATGCTTGCCGAGCCAGTCAACATGCACTTCAAAAGCACTCATCAGCAGAGTCTTCAACAACAATGTGGAGAGAGTGTCAATGAGTTTGTGTTTACTACCAATCTGCAAACCTAGAACCAGATACTATATACCAGTGTGCTGTGTACAAGGAAGGATTTCTCCTACCCTCCCACTCTCCAAATAGAAAGGGAACAAATACCACACTATCATCTCAAAAGCCTCCAGGAACCAGGATTCCCATTGAAAATAATGGAAATTTCTCAGTGCTGTATGTCTAGGATTCTTGAAGGTCGATGGTTGCCTCTTGATATTTTGAGCACACTTTTGGGCCAAAAGAATGCATTGGTAGGGGTGGGCTGGAGAAGTGGGAGGTGCTTAAAAAGGAGGATGATCCATGTCATCCAGCCAAGAGGCAGGGCTCGTTGGAAAGTCTGGGTAGCCTACACTGCTTCCTGTAGAAATATCAGAGGTTGGTCCCCCAGCCATTGCCCTTAGCGTCTGGCTCACCCCCTGCCCTCCATGTGCTATAATTCCTAAATTATTGTCCATTGTGTAATCCAGACCATTAAGCAAGGGAGTATGGGAAGGAAGGGATGATATAGAGGACGGAGACTGAGGAATTCCATAGGGACTTCCATCCCTCAAGTCCTGATAAGATTGTCCTGTCCCATCCATGGAGAAGCTTCCATTCATTAACTGTCCACTAGCAACATCCCCAACATTGCCGTAAATTCTATTGGTGTGGCCAAGCTCTGAGAGGATCTGATCTTCTGTGAATGAAAGAAGGAAGATCAAATTATGAGTGTAGGAACACCACAGTCATGGATAACGCATCATGCAGAGCAAATGATGTCTTGGGTGACCCTAGTGAAATGAATGGGATAACTCCAAGAATTAGCCTGGCCACCAAAATGCACATGAATGGACACTAGCTATTACAGGCCAGTTGTAAGTACATTAAGGCAAGTTCTCAGCTGATGTCAACCAGCATAGTGCCCTCGCAACAGAGCGGATGTCCTCCAGCTGAGGATTTTGTTCATTTGACTCTGATTGCTGGGTAACCATGCTATATACTACAACTCATGAAGAATAAAATCTAAATGGAACTATGCCTAAAGCAGGCTTTTTTTTAATTTAAAAAAACTTATTTGTACTTGAAAGGGACACTTTTATACATCCCTACCTATGAGCCATTATTATTTTAAATGTTTTAACCCTTTGGTCAGAGCAAAACTGCTGGTAGATAGCAGCTACTTTTGGGAGTACTCACTGGGTTCAAGCTTGGTGCATTCACTTACATAAAGGGCATTATTTCTAAACTGACTAAAAAACAAGTCTTGTATTCAGGCTGTATGAGAGGCTGGATTTAGAACCACAGTTGATCCTTGCTGGACTGTAAATAATCTAGTTATTGCCTGTGGGTTTTGTATTTGCTGCCATAGTTCTCACTGGGAGCATTATAAGAATGTTATAATATTTATTTAAGGATTTTTTTAAAATTATTTCCATTAAAATACTTGGTTCTTCCCAATCCAGACTGTTGGCACAACCAAGAATACATTCCTATCCAGGCCTATTCATTACCAATGATTTTTTCATTATATGTAATCCACCCAGTCACAGTACAAGGACCTAAGCAGGACAAGGTTATAGTTTCATTGATATTATAAACCTTTAATTAAATTTTGAGACATGGGTAGAAAACTCGCACAAGAAAGCACAGTGGTATGGTGCCTGTGAACCACACATCTCCCCCTCTGTGCCTAGTGTACAGGGCATTGGTTTATGTCAACTCCCAGTAAGGAAGTCTGGCTGCTTAGTTCAAACTGCAGAGATTTATGTTTTCAGCTGTGGAGCTTCCAGCTTCAATCTCTAATGTATCACCCAAGACAGTGGGTGGCATACATGCATTGCCTTTAAAATGCTTCTGTAGAGCCCCTCCTTTAACTATCAGTCTTGAAGGAAGCTGTGGTCAGAAATATTTGGCTTCCAATGGCCAGATTCAGCCATCCTAAAGAGGGTCTGTTCGAGGAGGACTCTGGTTGCTGATAGCTGCGTGTTTTCCCTAGAGATAGGTTACTAGCTTATTGAGCCCTAGAGTATGGTGAGCTTCCAACAGGGGACTGAAAATTCATGTTGGTACGAATCCCATTGCCAGTGACATGAAAGAGGATAAGAAATGTAATGGGATATCACTCCTCACAGTGTAGGGTATGAACCCTTTCAGAGCCTAACCGATCAGCAGATGAGATGGAGGAAAGGTCCAACTTTGTGATATCACATGCCACAGGGTGGTGCCTTCTTGGGTTGTCATGACCTGCCCTGAAGCATTAGCAACCTCTACCCTGGAAGATGGATCACTGCGCTATTTTGGCACTGCATGACATAGTAGTAATTATTCCTTTACCTCTCTCATTTAAAGGCCGCCACACCACCAGCCTCTCTGTCCGAAGAAGGAGTATTGGTTACAAAAATCATTCCAGCTTGTAGTGTGACAGGAATCCCCTCTTTCTGAGTTTATATGTGGGAATCCCAAGAATCTGCCCTTTACTCTGGACACTATATTCCCCACCCTCAATCCTCAGTGCCACTCCTGCATGCAGTCCCTGCTTCCACACTCACCTCGGAAGCTCAGCTCGCTGTCGCTAACCCCACAGTCCTCCGCGGAGCTCTCCTTCTCATGTTTGCTGCCACTGCGGTTCCTCTTCACTGTCTTGTAGAACTGTCCCCAACGGTGCCTCCCGGCATCCTTCTTCAGACGTTTCTCTTTGGCTCTCCTATTTTGAAACCAAACCTGGAGCCACAAAAAGAAGAAAAAACCCAACACACTGCCACAAAGTAAGAGACAGAGTCATGAGCAGAACTGAAGGGCAAAGTGAAAAGCCTGGGCAGGGATATTCAGGGCTGGCTTGGATCCTTCCAGAGTTCAAGATAGTCCAGATCCTGAATCTCCTCCAACTCCAAGGGGTTGCAGTTTGGAGGTAGCTATAGCACAGGTCCAAGCCACAAAGGCTGCATCCAAACTTCCCTAAAACTCCTACTCAGTTTCCAGGACCGGTGCCATCTCTGAGGCAGTAAGCTCAAAGGAAACCTTCTTGATTTTCACAGAAGACATCTCCAGCAAGCACCTACCCTCTGCAAAACCTCTAATCAGCCAAGAAACAATACTTCCAAGGGAGGCCTCCACTGCAGTTAGACACACCTGACTGATGTCCACTGAAGTCAGTGGAAAGAACTTAACTAAATCCAGCCAGCTTTGGTTTGCCCCCACAGAGAGGTCAGGCCAGTTATCTCAAGTTCCAGGATACATTGTCTTGACATTAACACCCCAAACATGCAGCCTAATTTATCTTTCTGCCATTGCATACTCGCGTCTAATGCACTCCTAGATCATAAAAAGAAAAATTTTAAACCTCAGGTCTGGATCCTGCGCTGTGATCCATGTGGGTGGATGGCAACACCCAAGGCAGCCTCATGGAAGTCAGTAAGGCTCTGCAGAGACTCAGCTGCCCAGTCATTCCCATTAGTAACAGAATGAGGGCCTTAATGCTTCCCAGATTTTCCTGCCCTGGTTTCTTTGACATGGAAACACTGCACTCACTGCTCCATGCATGCAGTGCAGGGCTTGTGTGGTACAAGAGGAAGTAGTGATATCAGAAGTATAGAGCCCTTGTATTACGGGTACTACATGATGACTTTGGGCATATGGGGGTGGACCACACCTTGGCCTTGGCACATAAGTGGTCCTTTTGGCCAAAGATGGCTGAAGACGTAAAGGCCAAGTGCTTGACTTGTGACTGATGTGTGCGACGAATAACTTTGCCCACTTGAACCGCCTGCCTACATACCATTCAGAGCTCCAAGCCCCTAGAGCTCGTGTGCATGGACTTCCTATCCATAGAAGGAGAGGGGCACCGGAAGGGAATGTGCTGGTGGTGACAGATCACTTCACCCAGTATCCCCAAGCCTTTCCTATGCAAGACCAGACGGTGCAGATGGTTGCCAAGGTACTGTGGGAGAAATATTTCTCTGTATTCGGCCTACTGGCCAGAATCCATTCCGATCAAGGGTAAGATTTCGAAAGCCGGCTACTGTGGGAAGTACTAACTCTGGTGGGGATAAAGAAATCTTGGACTATGCCCTACCACCCCCAAGGGGACCCACAACCAGAGTGATTCAACTGAACACGCTTGAACATGCTGGGCACACTTCAGCATGAGCAGAAGGCTGCCTGAAGCCAGCACATAGCGTATCTGGTACACGCTTACAACTCCACCCAAAGTGATGCTATGGGGGTTAGCCCGTACTTGCTCATGTTTGGGTAAAAACCCTGGTTACCCATCGACCTATGTTTTGGGGTGGAACGGGCCTATGCAAGACAGTTGACTCATGGGCAGTATGCGCAACAGCTCCAGGATCGCTTACGTTGCATGGCACCATTCTGCTTGGTGGGAAGAGGAGGAAATGAAAGCAATCATTCAGCCTGCGGTTCTCTCACCTGCACCACCCTCATGTCCAGACCTGTTTCTGAGGACAACTGCTCCCGTACGTGCCTGGCAGGTTTGGGGGAGTTCTTATAGGCATTTTTTAACGTTTCCAACTGTTTGGCTGTGATGGTGGTTCGTGGCCGCTTAGCTCCAGCTTCTGAATCATCTGCAATAGAACAATTTCTTACCAGTTTGGAACAGACAGCATGAAATGCAGACCTGCCAACGAGCAGCACAGAAGCTCTGTCAAAATCTAAAGTATGATACATTGGCTCTGAGGAGCAAGGAAAGAAGGGTGTTTGCAAGACTCAGCCCTGGTGTAATCAGTGGCTCTGTCCTGGTAGACCTTGGTAGAAACTGTACTGAGGTGGGACAGTGCTGCCTCCTCAAAATAGTTTGGGGGTCAACATTACTAGACTACCTGAGCTCCTTACAGTTAGCAATTAATTTCTTGTCATTGTACCTTCTGGGGGGGAGAGGAGGGCAAGGATGGTGATCAGTGCTGTAGCAGCCATTTCACAAAGAGGAACTTAAATACAGACATTAAATGCCAGATATTTAAATGTATTCATGTGTTTAATTTCCACTGATTTGAAAAGAAAAACCAAAAACTCAGTCTACATGAAGTGCCTGAGGTCATAAAGGGACTTGCCTGTGACAAGCAGGGAGTTCAGTCCCTGTTCAGCCCCCTGAGCCCCGCCATTTAAAGGCTTCATTCTTAAAGCTCAGCTACACATTCTTCAAAGAGAGCACCCTTGAAGCCTCCAGAAGTCAATTTGCAAGCTGGGAGAGGCTGTATTTAGTTTTGTCTGTAAAATCATTTATAAGTGGCCTGTGGACCTGCGCAGCTGGCAGGGACTAGCATTTAGGTACCTTAACTGACAGCAGCCCAAACAAGCCTTCTACCTGAAGAGCTGGGGGTGGGGGCGGATTGTAAGACTCAACTCTGGTGAAATCAGTGGCTTGGTCTTGGCAGAACTTGTTTGAAACTGCGCTGTGGCATGAATTGTTTTCAGCCTCACTTTCTCAACAAAATCACTTCCACATCTGGCTAAGCCATCTTTTCAGTTGCACAAGCAAATTGCCACTGAAATCAGTTCTGATGCACCTTTGTCACAGAGAGGAAAATTTGTGCTTGTCTCTTTCCAACTGGCTCCCTGGCCTGTCAGATGCCATGACACTAAGGCCATCAATAGCTCTGGGAGTCAATAATGGAATTTGAGTAATATTAAATCCATGCCCCCCCTCCCCACAGCACAAATAGGCATTGCATCACCCTAACCGAATTGATTAGGTCAAAATAGAGTCCTTAATTAATGAGAAGTCAGGGCTTGTCAACATGAAATCCATTAAAGACCTGTTCGGGTTTTAATTTCAGTCAGGCGCAGTTGGGAAGTCTCTGTGGATTCATTACTGTTTTCTGATCTATAGTCTCTTCCTCTCCCTCCCTTCATCCTTGTTTTTCATCTTATTCTGTATTGGCGATTTAGGTCCCCATTTGGCTCCTCTACACACACTTTGTGAACTGAGGGCCATGTCCAGCACCAATGTAAGGTGCAACACATCCCCTTTAGTAGAGCTAAGCCTGCCTACACCAGGGCAGAATTTCATTTATGTTGTTTTTTTATCACAGTCCTGTCAATGCTAAAACTGAATCTTGTATGTATTGGTCTACTGACAACATACCTCAGTTCTGCTCTAGACAGATCACTTGCCACAAGATGGGAGGGGAGCAGAGGACAGGGAATTGGGATCTCAGTGAACTAATTATTATTTTATTTTACAAACTTCAACAATAATTGACAAATTCTCCCCTGGTTACTTCCAAGGAAACTTGCTGACTTGAGCATATTTGCATGAAGATAACTAATGGCCAGGATTTGGCCTTTACCTACATGAAAAAATAACTTCTCTAAGCAGTGCAGTTC